TCAGTTGCCCCCCCCCCCCTCTCCCCAGTTTTTGAATTTTTTGTTTTTATTAGAAGTTCACATTTTTTATGGTCATTTTCCATTTGTGACCCCCTAGTCCAAGACGTTTGGGTCCGCCCCTGTCTATACCCTTTATCGGGAATATTCTATGAACACAAACAATAAGCTATTTCATAAACTCGAAACAAATTTACTGCAAATAAGAAATGACTGTTCAAATTGGCTCACCAATTGTCTATGTTTTCTGGAAGTAACAACCAGCAGCTAAATATCGTACCCCATAAACTTGGGGTTAATAACATGAATAATTTTTAATCCTAATGCAATAAAAAACTGGAATCAATTTTACAGCTCTTCAGCTTTTAACAAATGATTACTGCAAGCAATCTTAGAAGTATACCTGAAAACTTTATCCAGCAATGTATTTGTCATTGTCTCACGAGAGAATACCTTGTAAGTCATATCATTCTCATGTTGCTTGAGAATACTGATGCTCGAGAATGGTACATCAGGAGACTCTTTAGTGCCTACCAAGTCCGGGATATCCAAAAGCGAGTTCAGAACAAAATATGCCTGTTCACAACAAATAATTAAATTGGGATACCTCAAAAATATAAAAAGGGATAAGTATGGACAAGAATGATGTCAAAGGGAAATCCCATGTACTTACAGGACTTAAGAGACCCCTAACGAAAGTTGCATGCGTGTGCTGTAATTTCCTTGGAGGAATTGAAATTCTAGGATGGAAATCAATATTCAGTTCATCTAAGGGTGTTGCTACCACTGTAACTCCACAGTCGTAACTCTTCCCTTGGGTGGAGTTGAGCACATCAACATCTCCTAGATAAGAGACAGATTCTATTTCTTCATGAAGGTGCAATACAACATCAGATCTGTTGATCAATCCAGCAGCCATCTGCCAGTTCCCTCCTTCAATTGACCATAAACCGCCTCCAGATCCAGCCAAGGAAACTGCACCAGCAAGTCCGCTGATGTTAACATTTTGACCATAATTTATCCTTGTTATAACCTGTACAAGAAAGATAAATTTTAAATTTCAAAATCCAAAATCCAAAATCACATGTCAAGTTCAAGCTGCTTAAATTATGCAGATGCTTGGTCCTAGCAGTAACAGAATTTCCACATATGGACCAAATTTTAGGTCAAAGAGAAGAAGGGGCAATGGAATAGAAGAAAATAGGAGATCACCATCATATGAAGAAAAGGGCCCTTTTGGGGTGTTGGAATTAGAAATGAATAAATGTTTTAATGAATGAATGTTTTAAGGAAGATTTCAAAAATTATTGAGTAATTCTATAGCAAATGGTTCTATATGTCGAGAAAGAGGAAACACTTCTGTTTCCCTCATTCCCAAAACATTTTCATTACACTAAATTTATTTTCTGTTCATTCCATTTTCCATGGTTATGTAATCTGAAGATGCTATTGAAAGCAAGCGAACAAGAGCATTCTTTTTCTTCTAACATATGAGCCCTGGAGCCCAATCCTATATGCACAAAAACAACCAAAAAAAACATTGAAATCAAATATACTTTCAAACGGGGCCTAATTTTATGAAATCTCTCAACACGTGTATTTAATTCAAGGCCCCAAAGAAGTAAAGAAAGTCTAGTCCAAAGTAGGTCTGTAGATGCTAAATCTGTAGCCTCTAGATTTTAATGAAATTATGTAGGAAAGTAATGTAATTAAATTCTGATTTCTTTGTTTTCACCAGGAGAGATCTGGCAGGTAGGCAAGCTTCAAACGTAGACTACTGGCCATCACTGGTCAACCTCCTCCTACCACTCCTCCTGGGGTCGCATCAGATGGGATCCTGACTTGAAGTAAGAAACTAGCAAGAAGCTTTTACCATGGATGTATTGGAAACTTGATCACTCGGTGATCCACAAGCAATCCTTTTCATCAGGCCACTTCATCATGGTTCTCCAAGCATGAGCGGGCCAAGTATACATACTCTTCATAAGACTTAGTGATGCAGCACCAATGGGATGATTAATAGAAACAGAAGAAGACTCAGAAAGAATGGGGAATTAGGGGAGGGGGAAGAAGAAGAATTCAATAGGAGAAGGAGAAGGAGAAGGATGCGCCATAAGCCAACAAAATAATTATTGTTCATTCATCATCAATTGAAAATTACAATGTAAAATAGGTTTAAATAGTAAAGCAACCCTAACGAGTTTGGACCCGAGCCCATACAAGTCCAAATTTAAATAATAGTCCAAGAAAATAAATAAAGCTTAAATAAAATAGGTAAACGTAGTCCGATGTCCTCATCAACTCTCCCGGGGTGGGAGAAAAACTCAACCCTGTCGAGTGATAGATGGGATAGGCTGCAGTCAATCTAATACTCCAAATGCTTCAAGTCAAGCCACGGGGGACGATCTTTCTGACGAGCCAAGTAACGAAAAACCATAATTGATAGTATTGAAAACTGTAGCTTATTCCCAAGAATATGATCTGACCAAGGGGGCGATATTTCCTTCTAACCAAGTACTGATACTAGATCATCAAAGGAAATAATAATAAGGCGTTTGTAAGTAATGAAGTCCTCAATATTTAAAGTAGAGTGGTAGCCAAAATATGATGAAAAGGCAATGACATGTGCATTTGAACCAACATGCTTTAAAATTTTTAAAGGACTAGCACTACAAACTTGCAATATGATATAATTTCCAATATTAAATTCAAAATATCGTTTATGCGAATCAGCTTGAAGTTTATATAATGCATTACTTGCGTCATGTTGTTTATTGATCTCAATATGCAAGTCATGAAGATGATATACAAATGCTTCAGCTGACAACAACACACTAGCATGCGAGGACATGGGAATAAGATCTAACGGTCGCCTAGACTTATAACTATTAACAACTTCAAATGGATTTAGACTTATAGACCGATTCATAGAATTGTTAAATGCGATGTGAACAGTTGGGGGGGATCGAGTCCCAATCCTCAAGATTTTTCTACACTAGAGACTGTAATAAATTGCCAAGACTTCGGTTAGCAATTTCGTTTTGACCATTAGTTTGAGGTTGGTCAGTAGTGGAGAATTTCGATTTAGTGCTAAGAACAGGCGACTGGATTCTCCAAGGGTGACTAGTGAAATCATCAAACTCTTTGAGTTGGGTAAGGGTATGATATATAACATGTGATCAAGAGTTGTCGGAAACAAGGTGTATAGTTTCTAAAGTCTCGGGAAGGGTCGGGATTCCACTTAAGGAAGTGTCCTCACTATCATCCAAGTCATCAAAATCTTCAAGTTTATACTCATAGACTAGATCTTCTAACGACTCTTCTATTACATCCTTTCGTTCTTCTATGACTAAGGCTCGGTTAGGACATTTGGAAGAGATGTGGCCAAAGTCCTTATAGCTGATGCATAGCAGGTGAGAAGAAGTCCCTGGAGTTTCAAAAAATTTACATTTATTTTCCAGGATTTGAGGAACATTAGACGGGGGAGGTCCTAGAAGAGACTTAACAGGTGGAGGTGGAGCCAATGAGACAGAAGAATGGTTATCAATATGCCTTCTATAAGGAGAAGGGAGCATTGGACTATCATGACCTTTACACTTATTTTTCCAAATGGGAGGAATACTAGACAGGGGAGGTCCTAGAAGGGACTTAACAAGAGGAAGTGGAGCCAATGAAATCGAAGGATGATTGTCGTTACGCTTTCTACATGAAGAAGATGACTTTGGGCTATCACGACCTTTACACTTGTTTTTCCAAAGGGAAGGAACACTAGACTGGGAAGGCTCAATGATAGATTTATGATGAGATGACGCTAATGAGATGGGTGAACGATGGTGATCACACTTTTCATATGCAGTACTAATAAGTAACTCGTAGTCCCGAGCTGAAGAGTAAGCTTGATCACGAGTAGTGATGTCTCGAAAGAAAAGCTAGCGCCTAAGTTCATCTCGTAGACCTTGTATAAACCTATTTAAAGTCAGGGCCTCATCCTCAACGACATGACATTTCACTTGAAATTCCTCAAATTGAGCAATGTACTTAGTTACTAGCCGATTCTCTTGTGTAGGGGTGTTCCATTGGGTAAAAATTTCATGATCTAAGCAACCATTGAAAGTAGGAATATCTAAGTCAATGTCTCTAAAGAAACGCTCCTTACGACAAGGAAGAGAATGAGTACCATGATGACCATGACCTTGTTCTCGCTCACGAACCTGATCCCTATTCCTACGATCGCGTCGAAAATATTCTTGATCACTTTGTTCACGATGATATTGTCTATTATGAGACACTTCAGAATTTGTGTCAGTCAAACGAGGGGTTCACTTAAAATTGCTCAACTTAGCAGCTAGGGTCTTTCTCTCCTCACGAGTAGCAGTTATATCTGATCGGACAGTCGATAGGCTAGTGGCAAGTTGCGCTAATTGTCTAGTGAGTGCATCAAATGGGGATAGATCCATGGTCTAGGTACCGAAACTAGAGTGACAAGACAACCGGTTGACCACTATGCATGCATTGTATTAGCAGCTAAATGACGTGCAATAGAGAAATCAATGGAACAATAAGTGCAAGTAATGAGAAATAACTTGAACCATTTTTTTTATTTAATTTTAAATATTGGGATTAAATAAATCCAAAGCAAGCTAATAATGCTGGTACATGTAAAATAGCAAAGCAAGGGTCAACACACTAGTCAAATTCTCTAATCAATTTAAGTGCGGAACAATGGAAGTCAATTTGGTCACTGATGTCAATTTGATCAATGGTTTTGATCAAGTGGAGTTTAAGGCTAAAATTGTCACCTTAACAGCAGTGCAAAGATTTCAATTGATGCAATTTTAAATAAAGTCGTAGTGTACACCAATAATGAATAAAGGTCAAGAACTCCCTGTTTGTTCGATTGCTAAGGTGGTGCTCACGGAAGCATGAGTTGTTAGTGATGTGCTCACGAGATCTCAGTCCAGGTGTTGTTATGCGATCAATATCCATATTCCAATTCACGCACATATGAGGCTTCAGTAATCCATTCAGTCACTTGCTTTGCAACTTGTCTCGTTTCCAAAATATCAGTCTCTGTGGTCAACTGCGATTTCAATATACAGCCAGTACAGTATACTTGAGGACAAATTACGAAGTTGGCCTATGTGCCTGTAGGTTGGTTGGTGTATTGAAGTATGTGGGTTACAGGTTTTATGGATATGTAATGGAGTGGTGTCGATTGTGTGAGGTGACAGTAAAGTGAGGGTTGTCGGTGGTGAATCACAGTGGGTATTGAGTGGTGGCGACGGCGCGACTTGCAGTTTGAGGGCGATGGTAACGACGGGTGTAGTGGCCGGTGGGACGTGGATTGGAGGCAGATTCCGATGATTTAGAAGATGTGAGGCTCGAGTAAGGTGATAGACGCCAGCGTGGAGGGCGAACTCGTCGGTGTTAGAGGTGAAATGACGGGGAAGCCAAACGGGATTTGGGGTCGTTGGTCGTGGGGTTGGTGATGGTCGAATTGGTCATGGAAATATAGATTACTGGGATATTACGGGGAAGAAGATGATTAGGTTTTGGATTTAATGTAATTGGGTCGGGTAATGGGCATGTTGAAATGGGTTAAATGAAAACGAGATTGGGTAGTTTGATAATGGGACCGATCAGGGTAGTTTGATAATTGGACCGATCAGGGTTGGACCCTATGCTTTAGAATTGGGCTGCGTAGCTTTTGGGTTGGGTTAATTGATTTGGAAAAATAGATTAATGATTTGGGTAGTGGGCTGGGTAATGTGAGTTGGGCCGGCGATTGCTATAATGGGCTAATGTGGGTGTTGGGCTGGATAATTAGGTTGTATGATAGAGTGGTGTTATTAGTGGACTTTTGGGAAAATTGTAAGTAGGTTGAAATTGTTGGAACAGCAATGTTACTAGCAGCAGCCACACCAAATATATATATATATATATATATATATATTTGTAATAAACTGCAGGAAAATCTAAAATTTGGAATTTCGGGCGTGAACAGTAACTTTTTTTTTCAAGTAAGTCTGAAAATTGAAGAATAAAATTGCTATCTTTATC